GCCCCCGCCCGGCCCGGCCCGGCCCGAACAAAGGAGCCGCGCGGTCCTAGCGCCGCCCGTCCGCCTGGGTCCTAGCGCCGCCCCTCGCGCGCCGCGCCGCCGGGTCCTAGCGCTCATTGGCTCCCATCGCCGTGGGTCCTAGCGCCGCCCGCACCTCCCGGTGGGTGGCAGCGCCCCCTGGCGGCGAGGCGGGGCTGCGCAAAGCCCCTGCCGTCCTCCACCTCTGCCTGCCGCCTGCCCCAATGTCCAGGACCCCTTCCCTGCCCCCGCCTCTGCCGCCGCGTGGGATGCGGGCCCAGGTGCTTTGCTCCCCCCAGCACCCACTGCCACCGCCCGGTGCTGAGGTCCCCACCCATCGTCTCCCTGGGCTGCCCCCTGCGACTGCCGCCCCAGCCTTTGCATCCAGCTCCTGCTCCATCCCTCCGTCATCCGTGCGTCGATTCTCTTCCTCTCATGGCGTTTCCTGCCCCGTCGCCCCTGCTGTCCGCTCCCTGTTGGCTGAGCGGGGGGCAGAGGTTCTCCCTGTCTCCCCCGACTTTTGTCCTTGGAGTCCCCGGCGTCGTGTGGAAGCATCGCCTTCTGGGGGGGCACGAGGGGCATTTGATTTCTCCAACACCACCTGACGCCAGGCCCTGGAAAGGCCTTGGGTGTAGGGGAGGGGCGAGGAGCTGTCCTTGGTGACACTCGCTGTCTTATGGAGCCTCCTTTCTCCCCCCAGCCCCTTTCTCCTGCACTTGATGGTGGCTGTGCTGTCTGATCCCCTGACAGCCCTAGCAGAGATTGTGAAAGGACCTGTGTTTTCTGGGCACTTTGCAGACCAGGTTTTCCCCTTCATAGCTTAATAATGCAATATAAATGATAGCTAGACAACGCTCTGTTTGTTCCTCCCTGATCTACCCCCCACTAGTGTGCATTGTAGGATTCTCCATACAGCTTATTTGTCAAGATTTTGTCCTGTCCGGCCTTAACTAACCCAAGCCATGGGATTAAATGTGCATGTGACTATTTGCAAATTATTGCTTTCTTTTAAAAAAAAAAAAAACAAACCCACAACAAAACCCACGGTATTCCCTCTTGCAGGCTCCTGTTGGTGGAAATTTGTTTCTTTTCTCTGAGGCTGAGCCATGGATTGGCCTGATGCCGCGTTTATTTCTAGGATAATTTTAATATAAAAATGAAAAGCATCTGATGGGTTTACTGGCAAGAGGAAAGGATGGAGCCTCATGAGCGTCAAACAGGCATAAGGATCTTCACCGTGTGTATTTGGCGCCTGAAGCAAAACGCAGACCTGGCCCGCAAGCCACTGGCTCATGTGAGTCAGTCTGTGTTTTGATTTCTGTCTACGTAATGAGCCATGTCAGAACTGGCGTATCCTGCATCTGTGAGCTCATGGTGCAGTGTCAGGCTCCCAGATGTTGAGGAATTATGACTCTTGGTTAAAGGTAGTGGGCCTGGTTCAGTCACTGCCTCCCTGTGTGATCAAAGGCTGATTACCTGCTCTGTGACCAGTTCTTTCTGCAGGATGAGCCTAAGATGGACCTGCCTCGTAGGGGCTGGTTGAGGGTTCGTTACCTTGAGATGCTGAAGGGAACTTGCTAGAGAAGGGCACAGGCTCAGATTGCTTTTCAGTACAAGCAGGAGAGGGAATTTTTTTTATGTTGTATTAGGTATATTATAATAGGAACGAGAAGCCCTAAATGAGATCAGGATCCCTTTAGACCAGGCATGGAGCTGTACATACATACAGTAAGAGAGAGTCCCACCCTGAAGAACATGTGACTTCATAGATCAAAGGTAGGGGAACAATTTGCCCCCATTTTACAGATGGGGAAGCTGAGGTGTGTAGTGATTAAGCGATTTGTCCAAAATCATACAAGGAATCTGTGGTGGAGTTGGGAATCGAACCCAAATCTCCTGAGCTGCAGCCTGGATGCTGGATCCAGGATGTTTATTTTGGTGCTGTGCAGCCAGCTACGTCTGCTCCAGGAGCATCTGAGAGACTGGATTCTTCGTGGAGAACTAAACTGAAATTTGATGTTGCCCCCAACTCTCATCCTACAAGATGCATCCCCCGTATCTGCCCTTTCCTTGGCTGTTATCCCTCTAATGCTTCTGCCCTCCCTGACTGTTTGCTTCCCTATTGATCTCCGCCTCATGGCTGCTGCTCTGTTCCCTGGGTGCGCTGGGGTAGAACAAAGTGATGAGATGAACTAGGGCAGGGGTGCCAGACATGGGCTGCCTTGGAGGCTGGACTCCCGACCTCTGCGGGCTCATTGGAGCCCCTGCGGTGGCGGCGTTAGTCTCAGCAGCCGCTGGAGCTGCTGTTTCAGTGCAGCTCTGGAACCAAGGGATTTAATGCCACTTGCCTCCCTTCTCCCCCACCCCTTACCTGCTGTTGAAATCAAGGGGTTTAGTCATCCCTGGTGACTAAAATTGTTGGCAGGGGAAAAGAAGGGGGTGAGCAGCAGCAGCATTGACTCCCTGGGTTTTGGAGCAGTGCCGAAACAGTCGCTCCCACAGCTGTGGGGGTGAATGCTGCCGCTCATGGGTTTCTGACCTGCAGGATTCCTTGCTGTCCAGATTTACCCATCAGGGCCAAATGCATTTGATGTCCCTACAGTCAGGAAAGGTCCTCGTGCTGGATCAGTGAGCCCTGGCTGAACACCTTAGCAGGAGCTTTCTGCTAAGACCTTGTTCACACTACAATGTTCTGCATGTGTGAATATGCTCGATACTTTTGGGAGACAGCAGACCCTCCCTTTTTTGCCAGGCACCTCACATCCACCCAGCAAGTGGAGTAGGGCTTCTCCGGCCATCTGGCAGCCAGCAGAAGGTGCCTATAGAAGTTCCTGTGCTTTCTCTTGGCTGCCACAGTCCCTTCAGTAGCTGGTGCCTTCCCA